TGGCATACAATTCGGATATGCCAACTTTCAACGCGAGACGCAATCAAATTGTACTCCGCTTGGGCCCGCCAAGACAATCGGATCCTGCCCCCGCACTCTCTCCAGTTCAGGTCCCGAAAGCGAAGTTTCATCGATATCAATTCGAGCCTTCAGCTGGTTCGCTATATCGACGAAATACGACCAGAGAATTTCGATGGTCCTGAGTCAAGTAGGTCCAACTGTAAGAAAAATGACGTTGGCCAGGACCTGACTATGGATCGTAGCCCACAGAAAAACGAAGCCTAGATTCTTGCACAGCCACGTACTACCTGAAGCGAGGAAGGAAGGTAGGAAGGAAGTAAATTACCGAGGAAGCTTTTAGCGCCTCGCATTGATATTGCCGCACCCTCGCTGCATCTGAAGCTTCGGCTGCATCTCGAGCTTCAAACCCGGTCTGACAAATGCAAGGCGGTTCGCAGCGGGATTGGTGATTGGATAAGACGGGGAAGGGATCGAAGTCAGTCCCCGGGAGAGAGTTTTTATCGACATAAGCTCCTTGCATCGCTACATCGATGCATCTGAGACGGAGAGCATTCCTGGGGTGGAATATGGTGAAGTAGGTCCCACTGTAACGAAAGCAACCTGAACAAAACTTGACGCCATGGCCCGCTGGATTCTTGCACAGCCACACGCACGAAGAAAGCGTTTTTAGTGTTTCGAAATCACATCGCAGATCGAAGCTAGAGCTCTCGGCGCCTTCATATTATCCGAAGCTTCGGCAAGCATTTTTGTCGGTTCGTTAAAGACGCATCGCCACCTGTAGAGAGCTGCTATTTGACCCGCAAATCTTTGCAGGTCGTCGCCCAGCCGTGGACAGACTCCGTAATATTACACCCTGTTTTGGCTGTTCTCGCATGGACATATATACCGACGGCCATACTTCATAGCCGGAATGGTAGAAACGTCGGACGGGAAAGGTATCGACGTCGATCTCGGTAGGAATGAAACGTAATGAAGAGCGTACTTCAGAGTGGATCGAGCTCCCGGCTCAGTGAGTTACAATGTGTGTGTTGACCAGCGTTAGCATTACAGGGACAAGTAGTAGGTGTACAGGGCGAATTTGCTGAAGTTATGTAGAGTCGAGTCGGGTGATAAGAATGAATATAGCAAGATCAAGATATAGGTTCAGAAAAATTCTGATTCCGTTCAAGAGACCGAGAGATGATTCGTTGGCGCATCCGTACAAGGCCACCAACCGGTATGGCAGAGAAAAATGCCAACGGACGTCTTTCGGAACCCCGTCCAAGCTTCCACCCTATGACTTCTTGCTCTCGCACAACCCGTAAGGCGGGGATCGAAGAACGTGGGACAATGGGGAGGAGGACATTGAAAAAGAGGAATGAGAAGCAGTGGCAAATTCTTGACTCGCAGTCCCCGTAGGATTGCGAGGGGAGATTCAACATTGACTAGCTAGACAGCACACTTTGTGGTGAGAGAAAATTTTGGGGATTCGTTCATTAGCATAGGAACATTGTCAGTAAGTTAGAGAAACAACCTTACCTGCAAGAGGTGAGATATCCTCACGCCGACATTAAGAATGAGCGACAGGCTCTGAAACCGCTTTATGACCTACTCCACGAGGTCGTCCACGCCTGTATCAGATCCGCGGTCGGGTTCATTGTCTGTTTGCCCATCCGCTGGACCTTGCACGGCCGAGTCGACGGCATCTTCGGTTTCCTGGTCATCGACGGCCATATGTTCGTCCAGGACGATAGCCCCTTCGTAAAGATCATCTTCAGGATCGTCTGCCTGCCCATTTTCAGTGTTTCCAGCATCTCTTCCCTCGTCTACCAACATTGCTTCACCAGTAACATTCGATTCCGCAACGTCAGCTTCTCCTTCCGGCGCTTCTGTTTCCTTTTCTTTACCCTTGTCTTTCCTTGTCGACTTCCTCCGAGTGGCGGTTTCATTAGCGGTAGAAGCAGATTTCTTCTTCGACCTCCGCCTTTTTCGCGGTTCTGGCTTTCCAGTCATCCGATTCACAACGCTGGTAGAGCCATCGGTTTGTCCCTGTTCAACCCGCTGCTCTCCGCTACTAGGTCCAACCGTCACTGCGTCTGCTGCTGCTGCTGCCGCAGGAGGAGCCTTTGGTCGAAGTAAAACTTCCCTGAAACGGACGCGTTGAGAAGTTGTGGAGACAAAGGATAGGCGTCGTTTGGTTCGGTCCTGGGAGTCTACGATAAGGAGGATGAATAGATCGTCTAGGATACGTGTAGATGAATATACCTTTAGCTTCTGTAAATAATAATTCAGAACCCAATAGAGATTCGTGCTTTCCTTGCAGCACAGTCCCGGAAAGCTGCATGAACGGTGTAGGCGTATCAAGACCCTACAAGAAACAAACGATATCAAGTCTCTATACCAATTCAAAAACTAAAACAAACCACTGACGATAAGCCGATACGTCGATGAACTAGGAATCAAGGTAGGCTCTGCTGCACCTAAATCGAGGGTAACGTAAAATTCCTCGATGTCGTCTTCATATTCTTCGTCGGCGTCGAATTCCTCGACTTGTCTGTACCCAGGACAAAGACTGTTATTGTCATTGATGATGGTGGTCGTGGTGGTCATCGAGAACCGTGATTGTGATGGATATAAAAGAACCGAAAGATCTCCGGTCGGGTTATTGTCGTCGTACCCACGGTCTTGCAACGCGCACCCACCATCATCTCCGACGTGTCACTCAACGGGCTCGAAGCCTTTCTTTCCCTTTTCTTCACTTTCTCGGCTACTGCTGCTGCTAGTTCAGCCATGGGCAAGAAAAAGTCGACAAATAAACCCAATGGCTCACTATCCAGTTCCATTTCGGATCCAGGCGTAAGTCTGTCCCAGGCCAGCTCGGCTCTGTTCGATTATTCTGTGGTTGGTGTCAAGGCGTTAGCTCTTGTTTTCCAGATCGCTGTTAACTTGTGGTCAAGTAGATTCTGTCCCTTGTTTTCGGTGGATGTTGCGCGTATGTGCTGCCAACTTTTTTTTCTTTCATTAAGAACGTGTTGGGGCTCATCGGGATTGGTACAGAAACGTATGGTCGTACGAGCAGCTGCTCATTATGAACCCTCGTATCGGTAGGAAAGATATTCGATATGTCCAAGTCCATAACTGAGACGTCTGTTACGGCTTACAGGTTCCGCGTTGACCTTTTCGCAAATGGTCTTCATCACCCTCCAGTCTTTACCCAACTTTCTTACATTTGGCCAGTCTAATCCAAGCAAACAAAAGCCAACAAGTCCATCTCGGATCCTCGACTGGATCCCGCGTCTCAAGCCCCGTCAAGTCCCCATATTACAATGGGCGTCGCAAGTTCTCGTACACACCACAGGATCTCTGCTGAACAACTGGGCGTTTGCTTTTAACGTTCCGCTGACTGTGCTCATTGTTTTTCGCTCAGCTGGTAATTATTTGGCTTTCTCGAGCTAGAACTAAATTGGAACTTCTTTCTCTCGCTTAACCAGGTCTAGCGGTGTCCATGCTCCTGGGGTTCGTACTTCTCGGCCGGAGATATTCCGTTTCCCAAGTGGTGTGTGCATGCTTTCCTTCACCTTCGTCGGCTTTCCTTTTCCTTGCGCTTCCGCAGCCTATATCCTCTTCCATTCATTTTCACGCTTCTTTTTCCTTCTTTTCTAATTCCATCCTATTGCTCCAGCTTTCCGTGCTCGTTGTATCTCTCGGTGCCGTCCTAGCTACTCTATCCAAAACTTCTGGGACCGCCAACAAGAGCAGCACTGACTCGGCAACTGATCCGGATCTTCAACGCTATGCCCTTGGAATCGTCATGGTCGTCACCTCGCTATTGCTAACTGGAATCCTCGGTGTGTTACAAGAGCAAACGTACAAGAGGTATGGACCGTGCTGGAAGGAAGGGGTGTTTTACATGGTGAGTGTCGTCGATTGTCGTCGAGTTTTCCAGATTCTCTTGTCCAGTCTCCCTTTTCTCCGCTATTTCATTGAAATGCCAATCTCCTAACGACACACCTTTGCTCCCTTTCTTCAGCACCTCCTCTCCCTCCCAGTATTCCTCTTCCTCGCACAAGACGTCAAGCAAGGTCTATCAAGTCTTAATCACCCCAGCTCCTCTGACAGTAGCACCGGTTCCGCTTTTGCCTCGTGGCTCATCCTCGCTGGTAACCTCGTCACTCAGCTGATATGCGTATCAGGTGTTAATAGGCTCACTTCAGTACGACCCTTTCACTTACTTGTCCTCCGTCAGTTCCGAATGCTAACGAATTTCCTTCTTGATCCTTTTCACTTCCTTACCGTTCCATCCTCTCCACCACAGCGCGTCTCATCCGTATCCACCAACCTCGTCTTAACAGCGCGCAAAGCCATCAGCCTGTGCATCTCCGTCTGGTGGTTCGGATCGGGGTGGAATGCTCAGCTTGCGGCGGGGGCGGGGATGGTGTTTTCGGGGAGTTTGGTGTTTTCGTTGGTTAGTAGGGGTGGGGAGAGTAAACCTCTGGTGATTGAGGAGAATGGGAGGGCGAGTACGGGTGGGAAGGGAGGGAGGAATGCGAGTCAGAGTAGGAGTCAGAGTGGTAACAGTGAGGATAGTGATACATCTAGAGGTCATCTTAGACGGAGGAAGGTTGACGACAAGGTGATCAATGGGTTGGGTACAAGTAATGGGGTTGGGAATGGGGTTGGGTACGGGTATACGAATGGGAATGGTGTCGTGCGGATAGACGAGGTGAAGGTGAAGGTGAAAGCCAGGGCGAGAGGGAGAGGGAAGGAGGATTGAGGTTGACCGAAAGAGGTCCTTACCGTTTCTGAAGTATAGTTATTTGTGTAAATGTAAGTATACGTATTTATCTAGCTTGGTGTACGAATAGAGACGAGTTCATAGAGTACTTTAGAATGAGGGTAGTGATAGTTCAATTGGTCGTAACGGTAGGTAGTAATAGTAGCGTTAGTTGGGCTCTGATAATTAAGTACAGATATTGCTTAACGTTCGTGCTATATTTGCTGGGGGTATAGCTCAGCTGGGAGAGCAGCAGACTGAAGTCCTAATGTTGACTTGTTGCCTTTCTGAAGGTCCCGCGTTCGATCCGCGGTACCCCCATTATTATCAAATCCAAGTTGTCTTTTTTTTTGTACAGACTAGGTTTCAAACGGTCAACCTGTTGGCAGCTGCCTTGTCCTGCGCCCGAAATGTAATGGCGAAAATTCTTCTTTGCCTTGCAAAAAGTTGATGAGGCAGACGCTGTTTTGCATTAGGATGAGGAGACGAAGATCAATCTGCTTGGATTCCTTTTGCATGCCCATTCATGAGATGAGTGGTAGGTATATACACAAGTATTCTCACTGAATTGTCCTCCTCCTTCACTTCCGCCAAATTTTCGAATCTCCGTGGCGGAAGTCGTTCCTCTGTTGATATTGCGAATGACTGGCAGGACGCCGCAAGTCAGTACAGTCCCCCGATAACTTACGGTTTCGAACATATAAGGCACAGCTAGTAATAGTATGTTGCGCTTAATCTCGACATAGTGCCTCTAATGACAACTCTCTTGACGCATTCGATTGACAATATCGATCGAGTCCTTATAAGGCGTTATGACAGCCGAGTCGAGTCTAAAGTCTGATATATATGCGGAACCTTCCAATGAACGTACAGGAGTAGTACAATATGGACCCAGCTTTTCCTATCCTGCCTTCCCATACCTCACGCGTCGCCCCCAGCAACTTGACATGGCTAGAATTTCAAAGACACAATGCTTCGTTAGAGTCACCAGGCTACGAAATGGAGGGCGTTATTTTTATATTCCGGCAGGGCCGTGGGGATCATTACTCTTTATCGTACATCATCCAACTTGGCCTGACTATCTGATGCAGAGGTACGTGTAATTTGTCTTTCTCCAATTGATACTTCGAGAGACTAGTTACTTACATGATACATCTCATCCCCAATGAATATTTCGAGTAGACCCAAATTTTTTCGAATGCTGCAACAATCACACAATCTCCCGATCTATAGATAAACAAACGCCTGAAGAAGACCGTACGTATATGTCCCTTTCTCTTGTACAGATCTTTACTCGGAAACTCCGTTAGCTCTTAGGATCACCTTTCCATTTCTTCGCAGCTCTTCTGCGACCGGGAAGCATCTTGGGCTTCAAAATTATTGGTCATAGACTGAGTATGGACTTCGTGTGGAATATCCCATTTCAGAAGAAACGTTGGTTTTTGACTTCATTGGAATTTATGTTATAAGAAAGGAAAACCGCGGATCTTTAGTATACGACCCCCTACTTCTTGGTGCCGAAGCTGGATTTCATGGATCAGCAATTATCTGTTACTTCTCTAATTCCGACTCCAGCGCCGCAGCTTTACAATCATGGGTTGATCACACAATGAGGCACGAGCCTCCCTGGACAACATTACTTACAAACAATCCTTACTGGGAAACTAATAGTGAGGAGGATATTTCATCACTTCTTCTGCCTATCTTGTGGTTTGTTGTCTACTCCTGGGCAGATGCTTTGGAAACCGTCTATCGGCAAATTGAGAATTTGGTAAATACAGTCCACTATGATTTGTGTAGTGATTGTTTAAACACTGGCCACAGGAAACCCAAGTCCTAGAGGTGGAATCAACCTCGAAATCTCTTTCACTAAGCGCACAATTGCATTGCCAGCGTAGATGCCTCCACAACTATCAGTCGCATTTGCAAAATTTGAAAAAAACTGTGGCTTCATTGAATTCAACAGTTTATCAATTTACAACTGGTCTTTCATTTTCACAGACTATGATTCGAAACTCAGACAGTTTTACTATAAGGAATTGTGGTACTGAACCTGCATTTACAGTCATATCAGACTCGGATAACTTTGAGATTGCCAATTATGACGTTGGGAGGGATCAGGTACATTTTTAACTTCTTGAAACTTCTGTTTGAATACCACCCCAAACCAAACCGGGGTCAGGGTCACCACATCAAGATATCATTTTTCAGCTGACTGGCATGGTTGCTGAGATCGAACAACTCATAAATGCAGTTGCAGTACACAATGACACTATGCGAGATGTCATGGGGATGGTGTTTCTTATTTTTTTTCGAAGAATTGATAATTGAAGTACTGATCCAAAATCCTCACCAGGTATTCAGTCATGTTTCTATCAGCGATGGGACAGCTATGAAACAAATTGCCAATGTCACCATGTTTTTCATTCCTCCCACTTTTGCTGCGGTAGGTAATATCAAATAAAAAGTTAGCTCTAGAGTTGTGATCCGATACTTCTTTTCTCCAGGGTGTTTTTGGTATGAATGTAAAGGGAATTACCTCAGACAGCACTCCCGCATGGAGCTTCGTCATTCTTGCTGTTGGTCTTACGGTGTTAACTCTGTGGATTTTGATTGGGATCAGGGAAGGTAAATAGTGGCCCGCTATGTGGCTTCAACGGAAGACTTTTGAAATCAAACAATGGCTCAAAAGGAGTGAGGCTTCCAGGCATTGACATTGCGGCGCCTCGGGGTTCCGCCGCAGGCCCAGCATCCTCAAGTTGTTTAGCCCACGCTTGAGAAGAACAATAAGACTTACTCTCGTAAATCTCTTCATTAAATTATCCATTCTAATTGGTGTAGAGCCATTTGGGAATACTGATAACCTATCCGTCGTCAACAGAACGAGGCGACAGTTATGGGAAAGCGATGCATGTCGCCGAAGACTTGACAGTCATCTTCACAAGTGGATCACATCATATTTACGCCTTCCGCTACTTTGCAATCCTGAGGGTCAATTACGAAGGTGCTACGTGTGATTGTCCCAGTCTACCAAAAGTAGTACTAGAGGTCGCTCTTGGAAGGAGTGTCACAATCAGCCCATAACAGATATAGACATTGCACACAATCGAATCCAGCCTCGCCTATCAAAAGCCTTGGGATCTTGTAGGGTCCAAGACTCGGGGTGTACGCTGGACACGCAAAATCGTTTCTGTAGTTCGTCAGTCATCCATTTTCAAATCTCCGAAAAATTGAACATACTATGTTCGCTTTCTGCGCCCCTTGCTTCACATCATAGACAAAATCCCCATCGTAGTCGACAATTTGAGCAGAGACAATCTTCTTGTTGGCGACTATAACTAAAACGTTTTGCATATTATTATCCCTATTCATTCCGAGTCAGTAAACATTAGCACAGAAGAAGTTTGCAGCAGGGCCAAACAAGAGTAACGACAGCTCACGCGTGGTACATCTGTAAATCGACAGCCTCTTTCGCAACTTCCTCACACAAGAGTTGTATCGCTTGTTTCGTCATTTGCATTTTTTCCTGTTGCGTCGCCTGCTTGTATTCGTCGTTATCAACCAGGACCTCCCCAGACAGCTTCTGCATGACAATGACTTGCTCCCAACTACCATCCGGCATTCCTACCTGGCCGGACGCAACAAATTGCCCCTTCTTTTTGAGAGCTTTGACTTCGGCCCAAGTACGCTCTGCATCGTGGAGGACGATCTTAGCTACGAGATCCTTGCCCGCGTGTACTTTACCGGCGGAATCTTTATAAACCCCAGCCACGGAGTAAATACCCTTGTTATTTAATCCACGATGACTGATTCTCTTATCGAGTTTCAAACCCGGCAGGGGAAACTCTGAGGACGACAGCCTAAGCAAAATTTCCTATGTGTAAAGTGATAACAGACTTACTGAAAACAGTCTGTTCCGCAGGTGCAAATTGCGAGTCGGTGTAGGGGGTCAGAATCCCAACTTTAGGCTGGAGCGGAGCGGCATGGACCAGGACGGGAACAACGATCAAGAGTCCAGCAATGTAGAGCAAGAGGTGGCATTTAGCGACAAACATGAAAAAATAAGACAAATTGATTGTGAAATCCGACTAGCGGTTGAAGGAGGTTAGAGTGTCTTGGTCTCTGGCCAGCAGAGACCTCGGAAGAAGAAGAAACTGAAACGACGACCATTCGTTTTCGTGAGCTTTTAAGCCCTGATCCGAAATGACGGGCCCCCGGAGGCCTAAGGTATCGTTCTATCATTTTGCCATGTCGCAGGATTGACGCATTCTACCAGATTAGCGGCGAAATATACTCATGTTCCAAGTCGGTCATAGCCTTACCTTACCCTCCTCGTTTTTCCCCTCTTTTCTCTCAGTCCCGAATCTCACGCCTCAATTCTTTGCTTCCGCATCTTTCGGAGAACACGGTCATGGTCGTTCTCTACAGTCAAATCTACTCGCGTTTTTGTGGGTAATATCACATCATAGCTAAATTTGGTCTTTCTCTTGGCACAGTGCCTTAATTGTTCCGCCCACATTTTCCAAGACTGAACATCAAAGTCCAACTCCGTCTGAGGGTTCTTACTCTCTTTTGCGTCTCGTATCTCCTTTTTTCGAGGCTCTCGGCATTCATCACATCTAGCCTCGGTCATGGGTCACTCATACCAGGAATCCCCGCATTGCCCTGCCATACGGCAAGACACTAGTACATAACTACTGTACACACACAACATTGCCGAAAACAATACAACCGTGCTTCACCGTGTGTCGAGTCGGAACAGTCAGGGCCTCGATGTTTTACACCATTGCGTCATGGCGCTATGACTGTCTCCCGTTCAGTTGAATTGGTAGAGGAGTTTTGGCGAGCTGGAAACGTACCGTCAGGAGATCGACACTTATACTGCTCTCTCAGAAACAACTTTGTAAAATCTACAAATCGGACTCGACTTCAATCTAGGTTCCTTTGCAAAAGTGCATGTGAATCTGTTCCTCTGTAATAATGTAATATCGCCACTCGGCAGTGCGAATTATCACTTACAGTCGAAATCGTAGCGAATAACTCGATAATGATCAAGGTGGCGGCAAATTCATTTTGACAAAGAACGAGAGTGGAGCTCATCGGAAGGAGTTAAAATGTAACTACTACCACTACTAAACATAGTCCCTTCAAGAGAGAGTCGGGGATTGACATCGGATTCCGGTGTTAGTAATACAATGATGAACGATGCCTGCGGTCCGGAAGCGAGTAGGAGTCTGCTCAGCTTAGGATACCGTTCGCTTCTCAACTCTTAGTCCTAATTCAGCAGCAAAAGCTTTTCGGCCCCATGCATTTGCTTCAGC